CCGTAGGACTGGCAATGTCAGAAGTTGTTGACTTGAGCCTTTTATAGCTGAGCATTTTTTTTTTTGATAAACGTCTCATTCTTTTTTTTTAAATTTTATTTATTTATGTGTGTGTGTGTGTGTGTGTGTGTGGCCAGCTCAGCCCACCAGGGGGCGGGGCTGGCTGGCGTGTGGTGCTGGGGGATTGAACTGCTGTCCCTGTGCTTTGCTAAACTTGTTCTAAGTAGGTGCTTTAGACCACTGAGCCATCTCACCAGCCCCACAGTTGAGCATATTAATGTGGCTTTACTTATTTTTTTGAGACAGGGTCTCACTGTGTAGTCCAGGCTGGCCTTGAGCTCATTTTGTAGCCCAGTGTGGTCTTGAACTCACAACAGTCCTCCTGCCTCAGCCTCCTGAGTGCTGGGGTTACAGGTATGTGCCACCATGCCCAGCCACAGCATCATTTTTTATGTACTCACATCCAACTTCATTTTTACTCGGCAATGTCTTGGAGATCCTTCTGTGCTGCATAGGAATTCTTCTACCATGTTTTACTTTTTTAAAAATTATTTTCATAATAACTACTGTGTTATTGACTGTTGTTAGTGGTCACTATGTGCAAAGTTATAGCCTTTCAGAGTACATTATGAAGGTGATGGTTGCCTCTTAGAGCCTAGGTTAAGGGATTTTTCAGATTCTCGTGTCTCTGAGCGAACTATTTGTAGCAAGTGCAATGGACCTGGGCCTGGCTTTAAGTATGTTACTGACATTCACATGCCATTCTTTGGGACAGTAGACCATTGGAATTTCTATTCATTATAGGAAAATGATAGTCATCACCACCACCACTAACCACCATCATTGTTATCCATTTTGGAGAAAATATTGAATTCGTTTTAGTTTCCTTTTTGGCTCATTTTAAAATTTTTCGTACTATCTTGCCTGCTATCTGTCTTAGGTACTTGGAGTGAGATCAGCTGCCTTTAAATTAATCATCCCGGGGCTGGTGAGATGGCTCAGTGGTCTAAACCACCTACTTAGAACAAGCTAAGGTAGCAAAGCACAGGGACTACGGTTCAATCCCCCAGCACCACATGCCAGCCAGCCCCACCCTCTGGTGGGCTGAGCTGACCACACACACACAAAATAAATAAACAAATAAATCATTTTTTTTTTAAAAAAAGTCTAAAATAAATAAATTAATTAATCATCCAGCTGGGTGACCCACATTCCCTTAGTACTTAAGCCCCAATTCTGTGCAGCGCAGTGGACACAGGATGGTGTTCTTCTCAGGTCATCCCATTTTTATGGTGACCAGTGATATCCTTTGGGCAGTCAGAGGCGTGGCTGACTGCCAGGCAGTTTCAGTAGCTCTTCTATCAGTGACCTTTTTTTTAAAATCACTGTTTACTACACTCTGCGGGAGGTTGGTCCTCTAGAGCCACATAGGCTATAACCATCTCATCTTTAGGGGAGGTTTATTTTTTGCTTTTGGTGCTGAGGACCGAACCCAGGGCTTCCAGCTTGCTAAGCAAGCATTCTACTGCTGAGCCAACCATCTCATCTTGAATAACTTAATAAGCTATAAATTTCTGACTCCTATCCCATAGGAGTTTTATAATTGTCCCTCTGCCCCACTCCGTGAATTTCCTTCTAGACTTCCACACACCTCTCTATCTAACATTCAACACTTTGGGCCTTCTCCTGTGTTCCTTTGTATCTATATTCCTTTTACTTAACTGGAAGCTTTATATAAGGAAGAAATTGTCTTATTTAGTCTTTTTCTTCTTCTTCCTTTTTTTTTTTTTTTTTTCTGTCTTTTTCTTCTACAGTAAACTTTTTTTTGGTGGAACCAGGGATTGAACTCAGGCCCTTGCACTTGCCAGGGAAGCACTTACTCTATTGAGCCATCTCCCCAGCCTGACAGTAAATATTGAATAAATAAGTGCTTGTCAAGTGGGTGAATAAATTGAACTTCAGCGTGTGAAATTCTTTTTAAAAGCTAGCTTATGGGGCTGGGGAGATGGCTCAGTAGAATAAGTGCTTGTAGCTTATATGTCAGATAAATCATACCTGATTAGTCTGAGATCCAAGTGTACATCAGTGGAATACCGGAGGAATTATTCCCTCCCCCATTTTATTTTTATTTTTATTTTTATTTATTTATTTATTTATTTTATTTTTTTGCAGTACCAGGGATCAAACTTGGGACATTGCGCTTGCCAGGCAGGTGCTTATGCTGCTGAGCTATATCCTCAGCCCCAATGCCCCATTTTATTCAGCCATTTTTTTTTCTATTTGGATTGTTGTATTTTTTTCTTTTTGAATTGTTGTATTTTAAATCACTGTTTCTCAGATTTTAATGTGTCTAAGGTTCACTTAAGGATTTTGTTCATATTCTTCAGTAGATTTCAGGAGTGGGACCAGAAGCTGAAGTTTCCGGGTGATACCTGTGTTTCTAGCAGCATGCGGGGAGAGGCAGACTTCCATCCCCACCCTCTGCTGGGCTGGAAACCCATGCAGGGCCTTGCGCATGCTCAGCAAGGGCGCGGTCATTGAGCCTGCACCTACATTTGAATAGTAAGGTTTTAGTTATGCCTCTGGTACAGGATCTCAGTTTTCCCCCATAAAGAGAAACACCTAGTTTGGTTTACTTACAAAGACTATAAATAAAGATAATGACTTTAAAATAATAAAAAAATTAGAAGAGTTGGGCAATTACTATTACTTTTCTGCTGTAATAGACTTGATCCCCCTTTTCAACCTTAAAATGTAAGCAGCCACTATATAGGTACTTCAGCCACTTTATTTTTTTTATTTTTTGATGCAGAATAGGCTTTTTTAAAATACTTTTAAAAGTTTCTAATACTAGAAGAAGATATCATACAATGTCTTTTTAAATAAATTGTAAGTCAAAGATA